CTTTTCTTTGATGTCTGCGCATCTTTAGATAAACATAAATTTCGCCTGCTTATTAATTTGCACGTTACGCATCGTTGAACAGTAAGTACATTACCGTTTAAAGAAACACAGTGATTAAAATTCAACAAACAACCGGTGGTAATGCAGCACTGACATCTTAACGTCATGTGACTGGCTCGACTCAACGTAATCTACACCTCGATGTCTCCATCGCCGAAAACGCTATGATGAAAATACGGCATCCCGCAGGGCAAGGCAAAGCAGGCAGAACGTCTAAACTTCAGCACAGCAGAGAGTCTCAACGACGAGCACCTCACACGTCTGGAAACGGTCGACTAGCGAGGTCTTAGCTATCGAAGTTCACATAATCTTCTCGAGCCTCGTAAGACGTTCTACCTCAGAGTGTCTTCCTCCCTGATTATCAATCTGGAAAGAAAACTGTTTTGGAGGGATGATAATGTTCACGGCTTTAATCATCGAAGAAAGCAATGCTCGATCTTTGCATCATGAAATGTACCCCCCCTAAACGGACGAAGAACACCGACCGGCAAAACGGAGGCAAGCCACCTACGGTATGTGATGGATGATATCGGGAAAAAAGAAAAAATCCTCTTCCTTTGAAAATATCCTTCTGCAACTTGCAAAGGTCAAAATATGGAAATTACAGGATAATAACCTTGCTCAAACGTGCATGTTTCGATTCGACGGTTGACGTTGTTCAAACAAAAAAAAACATTAACAAAATCTGGATCCAATGAGCAAGAAGCGACCTCAACAAGTTGATAAGGACATGAATGAAAAGAAGAAATGGTTCGAAGCCTCAACAAAGTCTGTCCACGAAATTCAGGAATCTCTTCAAACCTCAAGCGGTGTTCCATTTTCGATGAAAATAAGAACAGTTGGTCTGTTTACTCTTTTCATGCCAAAGACCTCGTGAAATTCATTTACGACCCTTCAACATATTCGCTTGCAACTTAAAATCGACAGTGGGTCTAACGGATGGAGTAGAAGCATACTTCCAATTTTGCGCTCGGTGATCA